TTTCAGGAGGGAACGGCCCCGAGTGCCGAGTCACAAGACCGGGTCTCTTGGAGGCAGCATCATTACTCCAGTGACTCGAGGATGGGCAGCAGTTAATAAATAATCTCCCGGGAACTGGAAGAATGAAGCAAGAGACTAATACCTACCAGTTTAGTCATAAGCTGTAATCTGTCGTCCAAGAACGGTATGATCAATACTCAAGGATCGTAGAGATGACCTCAGTTTGTCTCCATGTCGAGGTCGTTACCGAGAGAACTTGATTCCGGATTTCGGGATCCTTTTGCCGAGTACAGGGGACGTGGGGGAAGTAGCAATGAGTGGAGGGAGCGCACCTTCAGTAGGGAACGGCTTTCCAGTGCCTAGGAAGCAAAGACCCATGCCAAGTTACAGGAACGGGCCTCTTGGAGGCAGTATCATTACTCCAGTGACTGGAGGAGGAGCAGCAGTTAATAAAGAATCCCCCGGAAACTGGAAGAATGAAGTAAGAGACTAAAACTTACCAGCTTAGTCATAATCTGTAATCTGTCGTCCAAGAACGGTATGATCAATATTCAAGGATCGTAGAGATGACCTCAGTTTGTCTCCATCTTGAGGTCATCACCGAGAAAACTTAGATTCTGGATCTCGGGAACCTTTTGTTGAGTACAGGGGACGTGGGAGAAGAAAAAGTAATGAGACGAGGGAACGCACTTTTAGGGGGAAACGGCCCCGAGTGCCGAGTCACAAGACCGGGCCTCTTGGAGGCAGGATCATTACTCCAGTGACTCGAGGAGGAGCAGCAGTTAATAAATAATCCACCGGGAACTGGAAGAATCAATTAAGAGAGTTAAAACTTACTAGCTTATTCACAATCTGTAATCTGTCGTCCAAGAAGGGTATGATCAATATCCAAGGATCGCGGAGATGACCTCAGTTTGTCTCCATGTTGAGGTCATCAATGAGAGAACTTGATTCCGGATTTCGGGAACCTTTTCCTGAGTACAGGGGACGTGAGAGAAGAAGGAATGAGTGGAGGGAGCGCACCTTCAGGAGGGAACGGCCCTCCAGTGCCAAAGGAGCAAAGACCCGTTCCAAGTTACAGGAACGGGCCTCTTGGAGGCAGCATCATTACTCCAGTGACTCGAGGAGGAGAAGCAGGTAATAATTAATCCCCCAGGAACTCTGGAAGAATCAATTAAGAGAATTAAAACCTACCAGCTTAGTCGCAGGCTTTGATCTGTCGTCCAAGAACGATGTGATCAATATCCAAGGATCGCAGAGATGACCTCAGTTTGTCTCCATCTTGAGGTCATCAACGAGAGAACTTAGATTCTGGATCTCGGGAACCTTTTGTTGAGTACAGGGGACGTGGGAGAAAAAAAAGCAATGAGACGAGGGAACGCACTTTCAGGAGGGAACGGCCCCGAGTGCCGAGTCACAAGACCGGGCCTCTTGGAGGCAGCATCATTACTCCAGTGACTCGAGGAGGGGCAGCAGTTAATAATCCCCTGGGAACTGGAAGAATCAATTAAGAGAGTTAAAACTTACCAGCTTAGTCGCAAGCTGTGATCTGTCGTCCAAGAACTCTGCCAAGCTACCCGTCTAGACCTAGCCAATCAGCCAACAAATCGGCTGACAACAAAAACTATGAACGATCGAGGAATGAAGGTCACTACCATTACCGCGGTCACCGCTACATGCAGAGGAAAAGGCCTTATTAACTTACCTGTTGCTTTCTCTATATTACTTATATAGTGACGGACTCTAAAACGATATCATGCCTGTATACAACATTATTATTCAGCAGAAGTGCAGCTATGTTTCTGTATTTGGTTTATTTGAATTATTAAATTAATTCATGTTAACATCATTACTATGTTTCGTATCTTATACACCAGTTCATGCTTGGTTTGCAGTCTTCTATTATTTGTGTTATCTTGACGAAAAACAATCCTTTAACAAATTAATCCTCTTATTATCATCATATGATATTAAGACGGATGCTTATCATTGCCTCTTATATTATGTCACTACATATATCAGACGGATTTAACATTCTCAAGAAATAATTACCATAAAATCGTTATATATTAGCCATCCATTGGCTATTCTCTTAAACAAACACAGCCCCTCCTACGTGACCATAACCAATCACCAAAATCTGGCTATCAGTTTCCTACAGCCACACACTCTCGCTATCCTCTAATCTATCAACACACATTGATAATTAAACGGATTTGTTATTTCATCAAAATACTCATTGGTGATCTATAGAGCTTCGCTATACACAATTTTTACCACCTGTTGCTCCTCTATCTAAATGGCTCGAATAAATAGACGGAGTAAACAATGCAAAACTGCTAAACGCACTTGTAATTATCTACGGGGAGTAAAAGCTCACTGCAAAAAAAACTACGGCCACAGAGGGAAAGTTTGTTCTAAATCTATCAAGATACAACCTATCCAAACATGAACTCTCCTTACTGAGCAAAGGCTTAAAATTCATTCCAACGCCTAAAAGCGACAATGCTAAAAACCTGCTTCTCAAAGATTTTGAAGAATTTGCCAGAAAACTCAGATGCAAATTCCACTTTGATACCGGAAACAACATTGCAATTCACCCCTTTAAAACAAAATCTGGCGTCAAACCGCCATTTACATGCAGCAACTCGAGGAATATATAATTAAAACGAAACTGGAACTTTCCTCAATGGAAATTGTAAAAAAGAGATCCAACATCTCAAATTCTGAAAGAGCAGCTATTTTATCTCTTAAAAATAAAAGCAACACAATTGTCATCATGAACAAGGATCAGTATGTCTTAGAAGCACAACGCCAATTGCAATCTAAACACTATATGCAAGTATCTGAGCCCAACATGCTCAAACTGCATGAAAACTTTCAAAATAAACTTGCCGAAATGCATTCAAATGGGTCATTGGACAAAGACACTTACAGGTTTCTTAATGACAAAAAACCTTCACTCAAATGTGGGCATTTATACCTTTTACCAAAAACCCACAAAATACCTGAAAACATTTACAACGCTCTAATTAATGATCAGTGCAGCCTTATAGTCTGTCCCACAACCGGAACGTCACCACTTTTTGCAAGATATCTCAAAATAAACAAATATCTTGACCTTCAACCTAGGTCCGATCGGTAGATTTATTTTTTTCCAAACTTTCTGCTTTTATACGAACCCTCGAGGTCAACCAATGTATACACACGGCGGCAAATTCAGTCAAAATGGCTGCCACTTCGGAAGGGGATCCGTCATTAATTTTTATTCTTCGGAATTTTCCGTAGCCTTCCGTTAGTGACGTCATTGACGTTTCAATGCTGCGCACGTTGGCTCTATTTACGCATGCGTTACAAAAATAACGTGTTTTTGCAATTCACATAGGCCTTAACCGATTAATTTTTAAAGAAAATAACCAACTATCACAGCAGAATTTGCAAAATACCACGGCAGAAAAAGAACAGACAAGTTGTAAAATCACTACAGGTATAAGCATGATAACAGAGGTATATGTTGACAACTTTGAGCTATGCAGCTATGTTTGCAACCATGGACCTACGGTACTATATTCTGGAATGTCCATATACATTCCTAGAACAAGTATTTGTGTAGAAAAAAATTGACTACCTTATGTGAGCATACCTCGGTAGTTAATCCAACACAGAGGACAGGACATTAAGCCTGTATACTTCAGAATCTCGGTATCACCAAACAGTTGTACACATATAGGCCTATAACGTTCACCCTTGTTATATTCACTATATTTCACATCAGCCATAACTTAAACACTATAATTTAATTGCATTCCATATTCAGAACACTCTACACACAAAAAAAAATCCATAGTTGGTAAAATATAACAGACAACAGTTTTGAAAGTTTTAGCTGTTGTGTTGACTGTTGTCTGCTCAAAAATGACGTCAAAAAACGACCTTGCCCTTTAAAAAGTGTGGTGTAAGGTCTATTCACACCCATGTAAATTTTACCCGTGTTGTTAATTTAGGCACATAATTAGTGAGAGAGAAGAAGTCTAAATTCAGCATACACTGTATATGGTTTCATACCTGGCCATGCCTTTTCTTTCACATTTCAATAAATTAAAAAAAAAAATCAAAAACCTAAAAGCACGTTTTTATTTATTTTTTTTTTATATATAAACAAGAAAGACAACTCTTAGATACTGAAAAAAACTAGCATTTCAATTGCTGACAAGAGTTACTTCCCACACAAGTTAACTACTCAAGCAAAATAAACCGAGAAAAAGTTACCATAATGTTTCATTTTTCACAGTAAGGACAACAAATCAAAACTTATATATTTTGAACAGAAGCAAAAATCTTAAATATCAAAGATGAATTTTAAAACTGAATATAGTGATGCCATGAGTTGCAAATCTATATGCATAAGCTATCTATTTTTATTGTTATAATATGTATGTTTTAAATGAGGCTCAAGTTATCTGTATATGTCAAATATGAGCCTTTCACAACTTCAAGATGAAATTTTCATTTTTCTTAGTAATGTACATATATGTACTTGTTTAAAATTGAAATCAGGAATATTTTTCTTTGAAATGCATGCAAGAAGTTGTGATTGGACATCATTGTTAAATTTAAAACACAATAAGAGTGCATTATAAAACCTTGCACATTGTCTTGAAATTCAAATGAAAAGGCTCATAGGTCAGGCCCATAGGAAGCAATTTCAGTTGGGGGGGGGGGGGCACAGCCATACATTTTCATACGTTTTTATTGAGGGGACACAAGCATATGGTAGTTAATATGTTTTCTATATATCAGCAAAATTATTCCCCCCACCCCATCCCCATGGCCATGTAGGTTATAGTGTTCATTTGTGAGTTTAGAGATTTATGATTTTCTTTTATTCTAAGTTAGATAATACATCTATATTAATAACACAGAAAATATTACATATTTTCAAGGATCATTGCTATCATAATTTAGCTCTTGAGATAAATGATAAATCTGCTGTGTTTAGAATGAACATTGTGTCTCCTAAGGCTTTTAGGATTCCAATACTTAATGAGTTGGTAAAGCTGATATTGCCAATTAGGCAAATTTTTAGCTCTACTGGTCAGAGACCAGAAGAGCTTATGCGATAGTAAGGTGTCCGTCGTCCGTCCGTCTGTCTGTCTGTCTGTCCGTCTGTCTGTAAACAATTTTTCAAAACGCTACTCCTCCTACAGTTTTGGTCCGATTTCAATATAACTTGGCACACAAGTAGACTTCACTAAGATACATAATTTAGTGCATCGGTTTTTGATTTCGATGGACGGTGTTGGCATGGTTACTAAAAATAGAAATTTCTGTGAAATTCCTTTAAAACGCTACTCCTCCTACAGTTTTGGTCGGATTTCAATATAACTTGGCACACAAGTAGACTACACTAAGATACATAATTTAGTGCATCGGTTTTTGATTTCGATGGACGATGTTGCCATGGTTACTAAAAATAGAAATTTCTGTGAAATTCCTTTAAAACGCTACTCCTCCTACAGTTTTGGTCGGATTTCAATATAACTTGGCACACAAGTAGACTACACTAAGATACATAATTTAGTGCATCGGTTTTTGATTTCGATGGACGGTGTTGCCATGGTTACTAAAAATAGAAATTTCTGTGAAATTCCTTTAAAACGCTACTCCTCCTACAGTTTTGGTCCGATTTCAATATAACTTGGCACACAAGTAGACTTCACTAAGATACATAATTTAGTGCATCGGTTTTTGATTTCGATGGACGGTGTTGGCATGGTTACTAAAAATAGAAATTTCTGTGAAATTCCTTTAAAACGCTACTCCTCCTACAGTTTTGGTCGGATTTCAATATAACTTGGCACACAAGTAGACTACACTAAGATACATAATTTAGTGCATCGGTTTTTGATTTCGATGGACGATGTTGCCATGGTTACTAAAAATAGAAATTTCTGTGAAATTCCTTTAAAACGCTACTCCTCCTACAGTTTTGGTCGGATTTCAATATAACTTGGCACACAAGTAGACTACACTAAGATACATAATTTAGTGCATCGATTTTTGATTTCGATGGACGGTGTTGCCATGGTTACTAAAAATAGAAATTTCTGTGAAATTCCTTTAAAACGCTACTCCTCCTACAGTTTTGGTCCGATTTCAATATAACTTGGCACACAAGTAGACTACACTAAGATACATAATTTAGTGCATCGGTTTTTGATTTCGATGGACTGTGTTGCCATGGTTACTAAAAATAGAAATTTCTGTGAAATTCCTTTAAAACGCTACTCCTCCTACAGTTTTGGTCCGATTTCAATATAACTTGGCACACAAGTAGACTACACTAAGATACATAATTCAGTGCATCGGTTTTTGATTTCGATGAACTGTGTTGCCATGGTTACTAAAAATAGAAATTTCTGTGAAATTCCTTTAAAACGCTACTCCTCCTACAGTTTTGGTCCGATTTCAATATAACTTGGCACACAAGTAGACTACACTAAGATACATAATTTATTGCATCGGTTTTTGATTTCGATGGACGGTGTTGCCATGGTTACTAAAAATAGAAATTTCTGTGAAATTCCTTTAAAACGCTACTCCTCCTACAGTTTTGGTTCGATTTCAATATAACTTGGCACACAAGTAGACTACACTAAGATACATAATTTAGTGCATCGGTTTTTGATTTCGATGGACTGTGTTGCCATGGTTACTAAAAATAGAAATTTCTGTGAAATTCCTTTAAAACGCTACTCCTCCTACAGTTTTGGTCCGATTTCAATATAACTTGGCACACAAGTAGACTACACTAAGATACATAATTTATTGCATCGGTTTTTGAATTCAATGGACGGTGTTGCCATGGTTACTAAAAATAGAAATTTCTGTGAAATTCCTTTAAAACACTACTCCTGCTACAGTTTAAGTCTGCTTCTAATATAATTAGGCACACAAGAAGACTATACTAAGATACATAATTTATTGCATTGGTTTTTGAATTCGATGAACAGTGTTGCCATGGTTACTTAAAATAGAAATTTCTTTGAAATTCCTTTAAAACGTTACTCCTCCTACAAATTTGGTCTGATTTCAATCTAATTTGGCACACAGTTAGAATATACTACGATACATAATATGTATTTCTGGTTTTTTTTTATTTGGGTGAATGGTGTTGTCATGGTTACTAAAAATAGAAATTTCTGTAAAATACTTTCAAAACGCTACTACTCCTAGTTTTCATTTGATTTCAATATAACTTGTCACAAAAGTAGACTACATTAAGATACATAATTCTATTTATTGTTGCATGTTGCAATGATTCAAATCCAAGTGCTACTTTTCTTTTGTTATACAAACAGACCAGTAGAGCTACAGTCTCATAAGAGACTTCTGGTTTTTTATGGGATAAAAAACTGTTCTTCATTGGAAAAGGGGAAGGGGAGAAAATAAACCTAAATTCAATTTAGCTCACCTGTATCATATGAAAAGATTTGAAATTGATATCATAGGTGTTCTGAATATCTTATATCTCAAAAGAGTTCATATAAACAAAAATAGTGGCCATAGAATGAACTTAATAAAATACATATTAAGGTGGTCTAAAACTATTATTTTAACATTTTTTTTGTAATACATAGGTTCTTGATATTCTCAATAAAGTCTATCAGACTTTTGAGCACGAGAGCAAACAGGGAAGGGTAAAGAACATATCTAACCCTCTGAAGAGACTTTCTACAGCAACAGGTATTATTATCATACAAATATTTTGTTACTGACAGATATCTGTAATAATGGACCTTTTCATAAGATATCCTGCAACTAACACCAAAAAAAAATCCAATTCTGAAAAAAGAAAATCTAAGTTATTTAGATAAAACAAGAGACCATGGGTCATATTGCTCATCTGAGCACTCTGTTAAGGAAAAGCAAGATTTAGTTCAGAATTGAGAAGTTTAAAAAATATATATATAGTCTCACCCTATCCCAGGGAGTAATGACTTGAAACAAACTTGCTTCTATTTTCATATATATGATACTTTATAACTTAGCTGTTCCTGATAGAATTCTTCTTCCATATATATTCCCTTGTAAAACTTTTCTTGTCTAATGTAGCCATGCCATACCCCCAGGGGTAATGATTATAATAAATTTAAATCTACACTAACTGAGGATGCTTTAGAATTAATGTGCCTAATAATATCTCAGTTGTTCTTGATAAAAAGACTGTTGAAAGATATTTCCTACACCTTCCTATGTATAACGTTACTCCCCTGTTTTGGCCCTGCCCTACTCCCAAAGGCACGATTTGATTAGACCCTGAATCTACACTATGCAATGAAGCTTTCACACAAGTTTTGCAATGAAACTTTCACATAAGTTTCATCTCTTCTGTCCCAGAGGTTCTTAACAAGAATTATAAAAGATGCCATTTTATTTCCAACATTTGAAAATTATCTCCCCTTTAAAGAGAGTGGTCTTTCATGTGAACATATTTGAAATTCCTTTACCCAAGGATGATTTGTGGCAAGTTTGGTTGAAATTAGATTAGTGCTTCTGGAGAGGAAGATAAAATAGTGAAATGTTTATGATGCCGACAATAATGAAAACTATAGACAACAGACACATTTTGATCAGAAAAGCTTACTTAAGCCTTTGGCTAAGGTGAGCTAAAACTCTCTTGCTTCTATTGCATTAAAATAAATTATGAGTAATTGTTTAGAAAAAAAAATTATTATATAAAGAAATGACATAGTTATCACATTTTAAATATAGTTCTCTACTTACACAATAAGTCATTTTAATAAAATTATATAAAAAGAATATATAAAAATATATTTAAAAAAAATTGAAAACGTAGTCTGTGCATTATATCCTCTGGTACATGAAGTACATAAATATTTTAATATATTTTAGGAATATCTGAAAGAACCCTGAAAGCAAACATTCTGTGTGATCCTGTAACAACTGTAATTGAGGATCTGCAAGTCCCTCCTGTACAGCAGAAGGTCCACTCCAATAAGGGGCTTGATGACTTCGATGAGGACCTGGTTAAAAGGACCATCCATGAAATGCAGTTGAGGGGCGAGTATGTATCTCTTCGTCGACTGTCAGGTGTGTTGGTGGAAAGGGGAATCAGGCTCACCAAGTCATCTCTGGCAAGACTTGTGAAGAAACTTTGGTTCAGGTAAGAATCAATTAAAAATATAACCTACAAATAAAGCATATAATTATTAAAATTGTTTAGTAATATACATTTATTGACTGGGTTCAAGTGTGACAAGCATTTTGTCGGACCCACAGGGTCGACAAAATGCATTTTACCCTTGAACCAGTCAAGAAATGTTATACCTTTTATTTTATTATTATTGTCCAATATCTCGCTCAGCAGTCAAACATCGATTTTTTACCTCACCTGAGCTGAAAGCTCAAATGAGCTTTTCTGATCACTCGTGTCCATCGTCCGTCCGTTCATCTGTAAACTTTTCACATTTTCAACTTCCTCTCAAGAACCACTAGACCAATTTTAACCAAAGTTGGTACAAAGCATTTTTTGGATGAAGGGGAAGTTAACTTGTTAAAATGAAGGGCTAAGCCCCCTCAAAAGGGGAGATTATCAAGAAAAGGCAAAAATAGGGTGGGGTCATTAAAAAATCTTCTTCTCAAGAACCACTGGGCCAGAAAAGCTATAACTAATGAGGAAGCATCCTGGGGTAGTGTAGATACTTATTTGTTAAAATCATGACCCCGAGATGAAGGGCAGGGCCACAATAGGGAATCCAAGTTTTACAATGAAATATATAGTGAAAAATCTTTAAATATCTTTTTCTCAAGCACCACTGGGCCAGAAAAGCTGAAACTTATGTGGAAGTATCCTGGGGTAGTGTAGATTACACATTGTTAAAATCATGACCCCTGGGGGTAGGATGCACAAGCAATTGTTTCATATACAGGGCACCTACTAATTTTTACCACAAGGTACCTAACTCAGTTTCAGGCACCCTCGCTTCAAGCTCGTATTTTGTTCATATATCAATCATTTACCTACTTTAAAATTATATCATCCACTTTGAGAGACTTTTTTCTTGTCAAATAAATCCTTTCAGACGTCTCTGGTCGAGCCTCTTTATTGTAAACCACTCATTAATTACCTCGATACATTTTAAGACTTTAGATGGGATACAAATTTCCGGTTGGGGTTATAAATGAAGGATAAAACGAGAGACCTCGAAATGGAATACTCAGAAGTCTCTGGTTTTATCCTACCCCTAACTAGAAGTTGTATCCCATCTAATGTCTTAATATCTATCGAGGGAATTTTCGAGGTACCTTGTGGTAAAAATAAGTAGGGATGCCCCATATACGAAACATGTGCCTGTGGTAGGACTGGGCCACAATAAGTATTACATGGGAGAAAGTCAGGTGTGAAGAACAGCAGGGCCAAACTTACTCAGGTGAGTGTTGTGGCCCATGGGCCTCTTGTTTTATGACCACTCGGTAAACATAGGAAATGTTAGACTTATTTTAGTATAGATTTATGTAGGAACAAATTTTTAAAGGTATATAAATAAACATTGTTTGCATGCATAAATATAGAACTGAACTTTATCTTTTTTTAAAAAAAAAAAAAAAATGTTTCATTCTCTTTCAGATTCTACAAGTCTGGTTCAGATCGGAGGTACATTGGAGAGCGTAATGACATTGTCAGTATGCGCAATACTTACCTGAGGTCCATCCGAAACTTTAGAGAGGCGGGTCGTCCTATCGTGTACTTGGATGAGACTTGGTTGAACACCAATCATGTAGCAAGGGGAGATTGGGTGGACTGTCCTAGGACATCTACCTCTGCCTTTAAGTCGCATCGTGGAGGTCATGGGCGCTTTGTCCCACCTGGGAAAGGCTGTCGTCTGACAATCGTGGATGCTGGTTCTTCGGCTGTGGGCATGATCCCGGGATCATGTCTAATGTTTGAGTCGAAAACTGACACTCATGATTATCATGATGAGATGAACTCAGGAAACTTCACGAGGTGGTTCACTGAGCAGTTACTCCCTAACCTACCGGGTAATTCAGTCAACGTGATGGATAATGCTTCCTATCACAGTCATCTGGATCCCGAGTCTGTGTCCGACATCGTCGGCGCGAAAGGCCGAGATCCAGTCTTGGCTTGATAGAAAGGGTATTCATTACACTCCGGCAATGATTAAGGCTGAGTTACTCACATTGGTGAAGCAGCATAAGCCTCGACCAAAGTATGTGATTGACGATTTGGCTTCACAGGCAGGACACACAGTTTTGCGTCTACCTCCTTATCATTGTGAGCTGAATCCCATCGAGCTGGTTTGGGCTGAATTGAAAAGCTTCGTCGCCAGGAGCAATGCCACATTTAAGAAAGATAAAGTGATGGAGCTATTCAATCAAGCAAGATCAGCATACGATGTGGAGAAGTGGAGGAGGGTAGAGAGCCACGTGATAAATGAGGTAGAGACAAAACTGTGGAAAATTGACGGAGTTCAGGATGACGAGGTCGCTCCGGTGATCATTGACTTGACGGACTCGGAAGAGAGTGACAGTGACTTAGACACAGATTCTGGTGATGACGAAATGACGTTGACTCTGACGTATCCATGAACTCCGTCGAGGAATCTGATGATGAAGTCACTTGTTGCATATGTGGTGACTATAATGCTCCTGGACGGTCTCGAAAGATTGCATGGGTGGAATGTGAGTTGTGTGAAAGGTGGAGTCACCGCATATGCACCAAGCCCTCTCTAAAGTCGGGTAAGTGCCTTCGATGTTGGAACAGTTTGTATGGACTGAATCCTCTTTCTTCATGAGCCTTCCTTTGACGATTGGTGAACTGTTCCTCTTTAAAGGTAAAAGAAAGATTATTAATCATTCATTGATGCATGTATCACCTAGTGTTCAATTATAGTTTTAAGTACTCATATTTGAGAAAAATAAGCCATTGCAATAAACAAGGATTCAGTAAAATTTTACTCTAAAATTTTGACATTGTTGGAATGCAATTGATAATTTCATAAACAGATGAAAGTGCATCGATTTCAATATAACTTGGCACACAAATAGACTAGACTAAGATACATAATTCTAAATATCGGTTTTTGATTTCAATGAAAGGTGTTGCTATCGTTATTAAAAATAAAAATTTCTGTGAAATACATTCAAAATGTACTCATCCTACAGTATGGTCTGATTTTAATATAACTTAATACACAAGTAAACTACATAATACATAATTCTATTTATAGCTGTTGGAAAGTTTCAAATCCATGGGCTATTTTTCTCTTTGTTATCACCGTTCACGGTAGCTCAGTCGGTAGAGCGCTCGCTCCGTGATCGGGAGGTCGTGAGTTCGAATCTCGGCCGCGACAGACCTAAGTCGATAAAAAATAGGTAGCAACTGTTCCTTCGCCATGCGCTCGGCACTTTGAAGTGAAAGTTGCGGGTCCTTCGGATGAGACCTTAAAAACCGAGGCCCCGTGTCACGGCAGGCGTTGGCTCGATAAAGATCCCTCACTGCTCAATGGCCCTGAATGCCGAGTAAAGGTCAAAATTTGAAGCCCTTCACCGGTATATGGTGACGTCTCTATATGAGTGAAAAATTCTCGAATGGGACGTAAAACAACATACAATCAATCAATCAATCTCTTTGTTATCAGAAGAAACCAGTAGAGCTACAGTCTCATCAGATGTTTTAATGTGCGCCACATCTTCTATCTGATAGTTCAGCTGACAAAATTTAATTTTTAATTTAATATTAAATATTGAATACTAAATAATTAAGGAATGAATTTAATAGCTACCCAAATTTATATGGTATAAACAGTTTATAATGTATAAATTGGGTAGCTATTAAATTCATTCCTTATAATTTAATTTTCATTTCATTTAGTGTAAGGAAAAAAGATTATTGCCTTGAAAATAATTCCAAATTGTACAAAATTTAAATATAACGTCAGGCGGATCGATACATTTTTGACACAGTCATTGTGATGTAGGCAACCCAATTTATACAATATAAAGTAATTTTTTTATCCAATCAAATATCACGTTATAACCAGAATTAAATTACTTAAAACTGAAAAATATTTAAAGTCTCTTAGGGCAATAAAACTTTTCAATTCATTGGTGAATTTATGATACATGCATTGTTTAATGATTAATTTGTCTTTCAAAAGGTGGGCCCGTGTGTAACTAATCTTTTTTATGTATCTTGCCTATATTCTTGAGACTTTACCTTAATATATTGCTGTAATCACACTTTTGTCCTTTGGGTGAAATTTCAACAGTATGGATCAGCTATAACTGAAAATAAAGAAGGTCATTACAGATTTGATTTCCTATTGTAGATCCATGCAAACCTAATCTATAGGCTATATGCACATGCTTGGGTATGAATTTCATTTTACTCTGCTGTTCTATAGATCATAAATAACCATATCAAGTTAATAAAGTGCAGAATTAAACTTTAATGAACAAGTCATAATTTCACTGCATTTGGACTGAGTTAGAACTGAAAATACACTCAAAGTCAACTGTATTTTATTCCCATCCCTAATAAATTCTACTTGTACCTGTAGCTCTATTTCAGTCATTTCAGGATTCAAATAGAGTACTGCATATGTAAACATAATCATGATAATATACAGTGTACTGCCTGATTAGTTACACACAATGCCCCCTACCGAACCAACAAATTTGACTTTTGATGAGTGAAGCTGCTTCCGCTGCTCCGTATTCCATGCATGTTAAATTTTCACAGGCCAGCATTTAGTCTCAGTTCCTTATTGTGATCCACTTCTCCTCTACAATTGGGACTTGCATGATCAATATTTTTTTTTTCATTTCTTACATACACTTTGTAAAATTAATTGCAAGAAAAACTTCAAAACAAATTTCAGTGGTTTTAATTCATGAGATATATATATATATATTGATACATAATTTATTCAATTTTTATATTGCCCTACTGCATTTCAAGTTTTGCTTAACATGACCAATTTACTGTGATAAAACCTACTGTGATATATGCTGGTTTTTTTTTTTGTTTTTTTTTTTATTAATTATGTACATACATTGTAATTATTTGCAAGAAAAACCAAATTAATTTCAGTGATTTTAATTCAGTTGTGATTTTGTTATCATGATACATAATACTGTTTATTAAATTTAAGCTTTAATATAAAAAGCATACTGTATTTCCATTTCTGATTTATCAGTTTACCATGTTTACTGTGATAAAATCTGCTGTGATAAATGTTATTGTCTAACTAAATATATGAACTGTAATAACAACAAATTAACTATAAATGGTATTGTTACTCTAAAGTGAGTATTTACATTTTATTTTTTTCTCTCATTATTTTATATTTTCAATCTACTCTTTATGCACTTTAGCACTGTGATAAAAACTTTACAGTGATTATTGCTTTTATTTAATATCGAAATACTCAACAACAAACTTAGTGTCACACTTCAACCCTTTAATACTCTGTATCAGTGATTGTTCTTAATCATGTTAATCTGAAACATGCATATTTGTGTTCTACTATATTTTATATATTTACATAAATATATACTGTAGTATTTTTCTCTTCTTAAATTCTCTGTTAAAAAAAAATGCTGTAAATTACACCCTCTTTTTTCTAATTATCTTTTTTTTTCAAATTAACCATAGCCTTACTGCTACTTATTAACTGACTGTAAATGCTATAGTTTCATACAGAGAAATAACTTGCTTATTCATTGCTTTTGTGCTCCAATTATACCTTAAACAGTTGACTATGACTGTATGTTTGCATTATGGATATATCATGTAATACTTAAGGTTCTATCAACCAAACATTGAATGTGTACAAAGGTGTTGGTTTGATATGCACAACAACAAAGCTAGTCAAAAAAAAAAAAATTAAACTAGCTATCAAGTTTGTAGTCTAGCATAGCAGTAACTTACTGCATGTGATAAATATATTTATAAACTAGACTACAATAAAGTTATACATGTGTATACAAATACTGAGCCCATTTCTACATGGACCCATGAATGGCATATGATTACAGTGGTTATTTTCAGTACACATTTCATTGTTGGTTTACATGATATGGAGTCACTGGCACGACAGAGATGTCTGTAAACTTCCGTCTTTGTGACATTACCTAAATGCTTACATACAGGGCAAGATATTTCAGAAATTCCCAAAATATCTTAATTTCATATTAATACATAAAGCAAGTAGTGTCTGTGATTGAAATACTATAGGAATTAAAATTTCAAATGTTTGTCTGAACTCTTTATATTGATTTCTTTGATAAGTATAATGTGTGTTGTATTCAGTAAATCATTGTTAAAAATGTTATGGGATGACACTATATACAAACTTCGATCACTACAAATTTCTGAAATTTTCTTTAAAATATTCTGTTAACATGGTTAAGAAAACTAAATATTCTGCAATGATTTTATACATGCATTTTGTGATTATTCCACACCCGATACCAAGGATATTGTGCAATATAGATGTTAAAAAGGATTAATTGTAAAATAATATGAGTTACATGTATTGACTTAATTATCCTGTTATGTGTGTTCATCTTATATAATATATGTACATATTATCATGCAGATTTTCTTAAATTTGTGAAATAAATTCTTTGTTGCATTCCATACTATATTTGTTTTCCTTTCAAAGATATAATGAAGTTTCATAATTGAAGTATGAAATCCCATATCCTTAGACAATATGCTGCATAATGCATTACTATGTGTATATGATATTGAATAGTCATATTTATTGTTATATACAGCTACTTGTTGTTTGACAAGATATGAAAAATATGGGTAAGAAAAGATACCTGTTTCAGACAAGGTGAAAGGTTATCCTGACAGTGAGGTTTGGTTGGTTTGAACATATTTTATTGTATAAATAATATACAAATGGTTTGAACACAAGTTCTAACAACTTACGAGGTTCTCACCATAAATGGATACAACTGTCAAGGTCTATATATAGAGAGAAAAAAAATATTGATATATACAAACATATTTGTTTTAAACATACATTCATTACATGATAAATATATAACTAACTAGAGTTTTAGTGTAAGGCTGTAATAATTAATTGAATCTTCCAGAATCTCTTATAAATTTTTGTACAGATTGAAAAATATATTTATTGATTTCAACATTTTGTGACTCATCTCCCCACAGAAGTAGGTGACAATCAATAATATTCAATTTAGTGTTTGGTTTAATAAGACACAGTAGGTTTCTAAATAGTTCCTCTCTAACAGTGAGGTCCATCAAAACACCTGTAGAAGTCTATTCACCTGCAAATACATGTATGACAATTAAAGCTTAACTTGGATTTTACGAGGCTAAACAATATGTTTGCTTCCTGTAACAGTAAACCCAGATCAACGCAAGCAATTTGCAATTTTTACACAGTTCTATAATGTAAATTAAACCCATTCTGTACATAGAGGTTGGGCGTCAGCAAGCCAACACTGTTAATGTGGGTAGCATGTGACCTGTGTCGCAGTGCGTGCACAATGAATTAAACCTTTTTAAAAATATACATGTTAAATAAGTCAACCATTTACATTTTATGAAAGTCAATTATCATTGATCATTGTTGATTTCTATCTGTCTATAGTACATGTATATCATTTAGCATGTCTTCATTGACTTGGAGATTGTTTGTGAAATGTGCCGTAAGATTGCCATATATACATGATATACATGTATAGGGCATGTGTTCCATGTCTGAAATCCTCCATAAACAAAAAATCAAAAACAAAAAAACAAAATCAGGAAAGAAATTTGAGTGCCAAAATATTGGTATTATTAATATATAGAAAATAGCATATTGAATGCTTAGTTAGGGTATATTATTTTGACCTATTTCCTGCACTGTTACTGTCAATTTATCAAAGTTATGCATAAAT